TCGCTGTGGTCACTCTCCATGTAGCATCAATTATGCTAATGCTAGCTGCCTGTTGCGTTCTCTCGTCCTGGCCACACCTCCGCTCTCTACCCACCCACACCCCCTACCCACTTTGATGTATTTTTCAAATTTTGCCTTGAGGCGGAGTTATCTTTTCAAAGTGGGGTAAGATACACTTTAAAGCAGGAATTTGAAAATATGATGAGGTCATTTTGACCAAATTGGACTTAATCCTCATTTCGATGTGATGGATCACAAATAATTGGTCTAATTTTATCCAGAACCAGTTTGCGGTACCAGGTTTCTAAGCTGCAGGCTGCTCAGTGACTCACCTGAAGAACACGTTGAAGCCGAACATGGTGAACATGATGGCCAGGTAGCCCAGAACTCCCACAGCGTAGCTCAGCTTGTAGATCAGCAGGAACCACTTGTAGACCATCCTGCGGGTCAGACAGGTGCAGACGGTTGAGACCGGAGCAGAACCGGACCGGCAGGCGTCACAGCGTGCGCTCACCTGGGCGTCCTGCAGGACAGCGGTCTGCGCGTGGCCCTGAAGATCACGTAGCTGGTGACGACGGAGAACATCCCCCACATGGAGAGGAACCTCCACCAGTACAGCCTGATGGTGAAGTAAAGAGGAACCACCCACATCTGGACCAGAGTGACCAGCTGCAGGAGGAGACAGATGTTTCAGGTCTGGATCTGCTGCGTCTGGGTGGACCCGGGCCGGGGGGGYCGGGTAACTCACGTTGTAGGAGCGGTGGTGCCTCTGCTTCCACTGGACCAGGACGATCTGAGCCACCAGCAGCGTGGCGATGAGGATCAGGACCATCTCTGCGTGCATGGCCTCATGACCCCGGTGCTTCACGTGCAGACGCTCGTGCTGCATCCTGGGAGGAGGTGAACACAGAGTTAAAGCACGTGACCTTTTGAATAATAAAGTGTAAGATGAAGAACTCACTTCCAGGTTTCTCTGTGGGTCATCTTCAGCAGGTCGTCCTGTGAGGAGACAAACAGCAGATGGTTTGCGGGTCTCACTGGACCTTCAAATCTAGGTTAGCACACCTCAGCAGGGTGGAGACACGATGGTCCTGTTAGTATGACTTAATAAAACACCAAGGATCAATGTTTATTTATTACAAATGTGTTAGTTTCCGGTGATTCAGCCACGTCAAAACAGCTGTTTTTAAATCAGCTAGCTKGTTAGCTTCTTAGTGTTGCTAACGTGCCTCCCGGCTAACAGCTTTTTGTTTTAATCATTTCAAAATGTTGGGAATTAAAATTTAAAGGCTGCGTTATTTGTAAAAGGTAAACCATTCACCTGYGGTTGTGCAGCTGCCATCGTGTTCCCGTGTTGTGGAGCAGAGCAGGCGGCTGAAAGACGTGTCAGGTGTACGGAGAGCCGCGAGGGTCACAATGACAAACGCGACAAAACAAAAGCTTTAAACCAGTTTAACCAATTAAATCAAGCCTGAGCTGTTATCTACTGCAGATGAACARCTTTCAAGTCTTAAAATTTATAATTTCAAAATATATTTTAGTAAAACAACTTCCCTAATGTCCTTATTTTTAACTAAACATAGCATTTGTGACACCTTGTGTTTATATTTGGATATAGTAAGCACACAATGACATCTATTTAAAATGAGTGGTTTTTAAGATATTTTGCTACAAGAATTGAAAGCTTTTCACACAAAAAAAGCAATTGATCAGCTCCAACAATTTTAAATAGTGCTCAACATTTATCATTTTTCAGCTAATTATTTTCAGATTTTTTTACATTTCCACATTCAGGCTCAACCTGTTGGTGACTCTTCCACAAGTTTATTCACTTTAGTTCATTACTCAATGTTAAATATATGTTTACTGCATCTCATTTTCTCACTGAGCTGAAATGTTGGAAAAATATTTTTTTGCTGCTGCAGTGATTGAAAGACTAAAAAGTATTTCTTTAAAGTTTAATCCTTTCAGAATAAAAAAGGCAAACCTCAAATTATATGAACAAAGACATCCTGGAAGAACAAAATACTTTGATTAGTGAAAAACTTTATTCTTCAAGACAAGTTTAACAACAG